GAGAAAATAGGTTACATCTACACGTGGCTTTTGCATATTCTCGAGTATTTGTATTCTTACAAACACACATATATATACATACATATATATACATAGGACAAATGTCTTTCTTTCTGTTTATTACATGTTTGTTTCTCTGTTCTTCTTTGATATAGAAGTTCAGTGTTCTATTTATCTTTTTCTATCTGTCATTCTCGTGTTTCTGGTCTTATCGATTTAGTAGACAACTCGTAAAGCCCATTGGCTTGTCGTCCACGTGACCTTTTCGCTTTATCCTTTACGAATTTTTTCTTTTTCGATGCAACTCCTCTAATTGTGAGAGAGAGGGAGAGTGAGTGAGTTGTGTATATACGTGTGCACGTGTGCGTATTTGTATGTAGAATTTTTGTACGCGTAGGTTTGAAAAAGAAAAAAAGAAAAAATTAATCATCCTTGTGTGTCAAAGAGTATTTTCCGTGGTAATATTTGTTAATAATTTTTCTTTTTTTTTTAAACGATAAAAGTTATCTAAAAAAACAACGTGACTCGTCGTATATTTCTTTCAACGATTAATAATAAAAAGAAATTAATAAAACCATCTCGAGGATTGATGACTAATCTTTTTTGAGTAGTGTAATCCTTTTTAAAAAGCGTATAGAATATTTTTACTAGATAGGGACATTCGTGTTTTTGATTGATTTTTATAGAAAATATATAATACGAGATATTTAAAGAGAAATATTGTCCGCGTTTTTACTAACACAAATATTTTCTTTTTCAAATTGAAGCGATATATAGCTAAAAGTTTCTGAATAAAACTACAAAAAAAAAAAAAGAAAAAAAACCAACTGCAAAATTTAGAAAAAGAAATGACCTAATTAATTAGTAAAAAGTCAATTAGAAATTCTTTGTAAGAAATGTTTCACTGAGACGAGAATGTAGTTGAATCTATTAAGTTTAACAGGTAGAAATGTTTGATTAAATTTATTATCTTATTTCTCGGATAAAGAAGAAACGTGGGACCCGGTTATCTTCCTTTTCTTGTGGGTTTTTTTTCTCTCTTCACGCACGTGCATCTCATCTACGTTATACCATCCTGTTCGCTAGTTAACCTTTAGTTAAAGGTTATCCTCGTAAGCGTTAACATCGTTGCTCACGAAAATACTTAAACCGGGGGCGTTGATGATTTATGTTCGGTAATACATATCCCCTGTTTCATATTAATTATTCGTAATTTTCAGATGTTACAGTGCCCATGTAATTAAAATATCCTTTTCGTTAATAAATTTAATATATACGATATATGTGTGAAAATGAAGAATTTGAGATTCATGAAAATTCGAATAGTTTTTATCCGTATAACACCTTGTACAAATAGATAATTATAATGATTGTTTATTAAATTATTTTAAAAAGATGGGCAGCTAAAAAAATACAAATTACATATTATTTCGATTATATATATAATATAATTATAAATAATAATATGAGAGACC